CTCCCTCCCTCCCTCCCTCCCTCCCTCCCGTGGAAACTTCTGTTACTGTGTTGTTGTTTGTGCTGATATATTCCAGTAAAGAATTGTTATTCCCTTTCCCATATTTTTGCCTGGAAGCCCCGTAATTTCAAAGGTATAACAATTTGGAGAGAAAGGGTCATCTTTCCATTCCAGGAAGATTCCCGCCTCCCTTGGCAGACATCTGTCTTTTAAACCAGGTCAGGGACACCAGGAAATACTGACTTTCTATTTTCCTTGGTTCTATTTGATCTCACAGTGGCAAAAATACTGTCTTTCTATTCTATTGGTTCTATTCAATCTCACACCCGGCAGCCCTGGCGTTCACACCCTGAAGAGGCTGCTGTGGCAGACCATGACTGAGGGATGCTTTTATGTTCCAGTGCTCCGTTTTGGAAGGCACAGATCCCCCACGCTGTGTCCCAGCCCAGGGAACACTCACCAGAGGAGATGTCCTCCAAGTTGAGCTTAATGGTGTCCGAGAGTGAAGTCGGTCCGGTGACACTGCCCCTGCCGTGGCGAGGACAGAGGAGGAGATGGCTTGGTTAAAGGGAATTAAAGCAGAGGTCTGGCTGTCGTGGCTCGGGGGTGTAAAACCTGGTGTCAGGGCAGGTTTGAAATCAACACCCGCCACGTGCTCAGCACAGTGCCCCTGCGGACAGGAGGCAGCTAAAGCCAAGTGGCCAGAGGCCAACAGCCACTGATGGGGCTTTGGGCACAGGGCAGGCAGGAAAAGCCCCCTGGTTGCTGGTGGTCCCATGAAGGACCCTGAACACACACCCAGACATGGCTCTGTGCCTCAGTTTCCCCATCTGTAACGTGATGGACATAAAGGTGTCCCCACAAACTTCTGTAACCTTTCCTGCTTTGCTACTCCCTAGCTGCAACTGCTGCTCCCATGGAGGAGCTTTCTCAGGAGATTTTGACCCACACAATCATTACAGAGTTTTGAGACATGAAGCCAAGGGAGCCCCAAACACCCTCTGAAAAGAGCAGCAACAGTTCTACACAGTGGACAGATGAATCCTGGAGGAAAGGACCAGCTTGTCACCAGTGCACCAGCTGGCACAGCCAAGAGCAATAGCTTAAACAACCAAACAGGGGTGTCCTGAATCTAGCACACCACCTCACCAGTCCTTAAACTCAGCAGACAGGCTCCAAAAGCCACAACATCCACTGAAATCAGCACTTGAAGCTGCACAACATCGTGAGTTTATTTCATGGCTGATGCCAATCGATGCCCACTCTGCCCTTTGGTTAAAAATCAAGGACCAGCTGTGCCTTCTGTTGTATTCCCAGGACTGCCACTGGCTCTGCTCCACACCTCCCAACAAGAGACACCTGCCCTTGCTCAAGGACAAAGCTGCTTATGCAATAACATCCCATGAGCAGTTCGGGGAAGGGACAGAGCAGAAACAATTATTTGATGGTGAAATGTTCCCTCTTGATTTCCAAAGTAAAAAAACAGCACTTTTCCTCTAAAAACGAAGCCAGCATACTTGTTTCTCTACTATGGGCAGACCTACTCACAACTCTTCTCTTGCTAAGTAGTAACTTTCTTGTTCTTTTTAACCCATCTCTCTTATCTCATTGGTATAATCGACTGCAGTTTGCTTTCATTCCTTCACTGCCTTGACCCAGTGCCTCCCAACAGCAGCTCCCAGCTCCACAGCTCCAGAGCAGCCAGCATCAGCTCTCCTGCTGACCCTACACGATCCTAGCAGCCCATGGCTCAGGCTAGCAGGGACAAGCCCTCATGCTGCTGCGGTGCTGAGGAATGAGCTCTGCCTCCCCTGTTTTCAGCCCTTCTCCCTTCTGCTGGGCCAGGATTCTCTCTTGCCATGGCACCAGCCCACGGGATGACACCCCTGTCCTTGGGACAGTTCCTGCTGCACACTTCCCTGTCTCCCACATCAGCCCTCTCCTGGCTGTGGAAAGGAGCTCCCAGGGCACTCTCTGCACAGGAGCTGAGAGCACGGCTCGTGCCCCACAGCATGGCTGTGAGAGGTGAGGTGAGGCTGCTGCTGCCCATCTGGGATGGATTATTAATGGGAATTTTTACAAACACTGCTGCTGGTGCAGAATCACCCAGGCTGGCCCACCTCCAAAGCCCTGGGGGCCTTGCTGGCTGTTCAGGGGGACATCCCAGAGCAGCTACTGCCCAAAGCTGATCCATCCCACTGCCTGCCACGGCCCAAGGCAGAGGGAGATCCCTACAGGGAGGATAGTGCCAGCTCCCAGGTACCCACACAGGCCAGGAGGCATCCTCACACTAAGGCAATTCCAGGATCAAAGCAGAGATCAAAACCTCAGGAAAAACCTTTTTTCTCTGCTCAGCCCCAAAATGAGGGAGATGTCCCAGAGACAGCCACAGATGTGCCCACCAAGCTCCCACAGTCCTTACTTGATAGTCAGGATTGCAGGCCTAGGAGATCCAGCCACACTGAACTGGAATTCTTCCTCAAATGTCCCCAGCACGGTGGCACCGAAGGAGACCTGGATCGTCTGGGTCCCGCCTGGTGCAATGATGCCTTCCTTGGGTGCAAACTTGAAGCAGAAGCCCACGTTTGCATTTGAGGAGATATAGGTGAAGGGAGCATCAATAGCTCCTAGGTTAACCAGCTGCACCTGCAGCAGCAAGAAAGCAAAATGCAAATACATGTGGAATCTTCCCTTCTCATGAGTTATTGTCTAATGATGCAATAAACATGCACTTTCTAACTTTACACTGTTGGAGAATTTTTGTCCATCTCAGTTGGATATCGATATTAGATCGATATTCATATTTTAGTAAGTCACCACCAGGCTTGCTGCTGCCTCAGGAGCCATCAGGATCCATCCCAAGTCCTGCTGCTCACCTCACGAACGTGGGGGGTGTTGACAGAAACGTTCCCCAGGTTCAGTATGCGACAGTTCAGTTCAACCAGGGGTCCTTTGCCGTGCCCTCTGAGGCGCAGGGGCAGCCTGCTCTCACGGCCTGGGGAGAGATGTCCGTTTCAGTACAATAATTCCCTCTGTTACACTGCATTTTCCAGGCTGCCTCAGTGAGAGTCCCTGACTCTGAGCTGGATGCCACCAGCTCCTGATGCTGCAGGAGAAGATATGGACCCTTCTGTTCCCTCAGGAGATATCCCTTGGGGCTGACTTGCAATTTCTAACCCATTCTGTGGGCTGGTTTCCAATCTTAGCCACCAGTCTGCTGAGTTTCAAACACCTCTGATGTCCTGTAGTGGCAGGCCAAGCAGTAACGGGTATAAATTGAAAGAAAGGAAATTTAGGTTCCATATTAGGAAGGAATTTTTTACTGTGAGGGTGGTGAGACACTGGAGCAGGTTCCCCAGGGGTGTTGTGGAGGTTCCAGCCCTGAAAGTGTTCAAAGCCAGGCTGGATGGGCTTGGAGCTCCTGATCTAGTGGGAGGTGTCCCTGCCCAGAGGCCTTTAAGGTCCATTCCATCCTGACCTTCCTATAATTCTGTGGTGTCCTTCCCATGCACTTAGAGGAGCTCTGAAATCCATTCAGTGCAGGCACAAAGCTCATACAGAGTTTGGCAATTGCCAGACTACCTGGCCCAGTAGCACACGGCTTTGTTGCCAAAATCCTCAACTTCTGGCACTCAGCATTGTGTTCTACTTCCACAGACTGAGCTGCAAGGTGACAATTCCCACACAGGGACAGAGGCAGGTGCTGGCCAAGGGTGCTCCTTCTACAAACACCCTGGGCTCAGCGGGGCTCAGCCACTCTGGTCTGGTGGTGTCTGGGCAGTGGGAGTGATCCAGGGTCAGAGAGCCCATTTCTAACTCAGCTCCTACCCCCTGATGATGGATCTGTGTCAAATGGACCCATCCTGGAGGTCAGTGGCCTAGAGGGTTCAGTGCTTGTTCACTAAAGCTGTTGTGCTCTGCAGCTCTTTGGCCTTTGAGGAAATGCTGGCAAAGCCATGGCAGGAAAACCTCTCCCTGCACTGCCTGGATTGTTCTGGGTTCAGGAACCCAGACACAGGATTCTGAGCCCTGGCCTTGCACAGGAGACTCCCTGGAAGCTGCAGGGCCAGTGGGGATGTGCCAGCACTGCCCTGCTGGCCAGGGACTCTTCCCAGCAGTTACAGGGGAGCCCAGTGGGCTCAGGCTTGCACCATGGCTGCACTGAGGCTGAGAGAAGCAGGGGAAAGGAGCTGGACCTGAGATGTTGCAGTAAGCCACACTTTGGTACTCCAGTGCCTCTGTGGGTTTGAAGGTCACCTTGATTTCAGCCGAACTATTCGGCCCAATTTCTCCCTCCTAAAACAGAAAGAGACAGCAAAACATTTCTCTTCAAACTTCACATTTCTTGTTTTCAACCACAGTCCTGCAAGCCTTAGTTTAGAGCATAGTGATGAGTGAACAACACAAGGAGCCCAAGGAAACACTCCAAACCCAGCTCAGCACACCGCTGGAAGCTCTCAGTGCTCAGCTGATCAGCTCCCACTCTCCACAATGTTCCTACTGCTCTGACACAAGCCCTTGGTCACATCATGCTGCTGTCAGCTACAGCGGGATGCAACTGCCACTGTGCACTCATGGCTCTTCACAAGAAGAGAACATGATCCCCTTCCTTGGAAATAAAAATATTAATTTAACCTGTGTTGAAAGAAAGCAGCAGTGGGGATTATTCTGGGGTTTACTCCAAGATGAGAAGGGATTTTGCACTGTGCAGACACCAGGCACTCATCATCTCTCACATCTTCAGTACTCAGAACCAGGGCTCTGGCTGATGGGAGGATGTGGGGGTTTGCTTGCACAAACAGAAAAGGAAAAGGGTTTCTGTCCCTGTGTGCAGGAGAACTCAAAAGGTCCATTTAAACCTTCCACCCTTGTGTCCAAGCTCTCAGAGGACACTGGAAGGGACACTCAGAAATAGTGCAAGGCGTGGTTACAGGTGGGGATGGGCATTTCTATGATTAACCATGGCAAGCTTGAGGTCACTATGTGAACTGGCAGAGCTCCAACACCCTCTGCTGAGCCCCTGCCTACAAGAACTGCTCCCTGTGGACACTGCAGGACAGCACAGAGCGCCCTTGAGCTCGAGCCCTGACAGCAGAGCTCGGCTTTGTCAGGCTCCCAGCCCTGCCCTGAGCCTGCAGGGCAGAAATGCTTCCAGCAGGGAGCTCTGCAGCTGCACCAAAACTCGATGTCCTCCCTCCCAGCACATCGGGCCAGCTGAGGATCTGCTAGTGACCGCATCCCGGTGGGAGGAGGGAGAGGGGGAGGAGGAGGAAGAGGAAGAGGGGAAGGAGGAAAATGAGGTTCTCAGCTATCACTTACCACTGGCTCAATGAAAAAAATGTCATCGGAGAACAGCATGGGGTCCTGTTGCACCTTTGCTATCTCCGCCAGGACCGTGTTGCTCAGGCGGGCAGTGTGATCTTCACAAGAGCCCATCTCTGACTCTGATGTTTCCTCCTCCGTTAAGTTTTCCTGCGACTTCTCTGACCACGGCCGCAGAAAACGACACTGCCTGCAGCCACAGGAGAGACAAGGCCAGCAGATCGTTTAATAAGCCACATATTTGCAGAGGGAAGTGTGAGTGCAGGAGGGCAAAGCACCTGGGGAGGAGCAGCAGCAGCTCCCCAGCAAGGGCTGACCCCAGGCCATGGGGTCCCACATGGATCAGAGGATAACTTGCTGTTCACTGGCACAGCAGGTCGTTTTACTCCACACCTGCAAGCTCAGGAGACGTTTCCAAAGCCAGAGAGAACTTCCTGGCTCAAAGCCTCTGCCAAAACTGAGGGAGAACCGACCAGGCACTTCAAGTGGATTTTCCTACCACTGAGCTGCTCAGGGGAGGCAGATAAAGATCATGGAGCAGGACTTCCCTGGGAAGGGGAGACAAAGCTGGGCTGCAGCTACGTGTTACCAGCATCACTCTTTGTTTCTGCCATTTTGGACCTGCCTTGATCCCTACTCTGCCTTTCACAAGAGCATCCCACAGCACTTCCAAAGGAAATTGATAAATTCAGGCACCACACCCCTTCAGTGATATTCAAGGTTTTATGCATGAAAACAGAAACTCTGAGAGGTGAGGGGACTTTGTTGTGCAGGAGGGAGACAGCAAACTCCTGGAGAGGCCTTTTCATGACCCAGAGCTTTTTGGGTCCCATCCCAGTGCACGGTAGTAGAATGTCCTGAGAGGGAAAGGATCCTGCACTGTGTCCTCTCATTAAAAAGTCCTCTCAGCTCTGAGATCTCAAAAGCTGCTCTGACAGCAGGACAGTGGCCTTGGAGCTATAACCATGCCTAAGACTGGAAGTAAGGAAGAACAAAATGTCCTGGTGGCAGTCTAGGACACAAATTGGCATGAAACCAAATGTAATTGGAAAAAACCCACAAAACCGCAACCAGGTTGAAGTTTACTTTGGGGAAACCTAATTGCTTCTGAGGGCAAAGCAGATCACCTGGGGTCCAGGCTGAGGCAGGGAAGTGGGGAAGAAATTGAAATAAAGAGCCCAGGGAAGTAGCCAGAGAAGGTAATGGGGTTTTTGTTAACACACAGTGCTTGTATGGAAGTTAGATGCTGAGTAAGGAGATGGAGAACAGTGGAAAACCAAGAAGCCCAGAAGCCATTCAGGTGGGCAAGGGTCAATCTCCTGGTCCTTTGCAGGTAATGTAAAATTACTCTGGGGACTGCAAGTGACCTGGCCCTCAGCAACCAGGGGCTTGCCACAGCAGTTTTGGCCCGGCAGTTTTGGCTGAGCAGTTTTGGCCCGGCAGTTTTGGCCCGGCAGTTTTGGCTCAGCAGTTTTGGCCTGGTGTTTTTTCAGTTTTTGCGTGGCAGCTCGCACAAGCAGCCTGAGCACAAAAGGTGCAGCCACCCACCTTCCTTGTGCAGAGGGTTGTGTCTTTTTGCTGGTTGTGAGGTGCTTGCCTTTTTTTTTTTTCTTTCTTCTTTATGTTTTTGGGTTTTTCCCCAGCGATGGTTTACAAATGCTGAAAAGCCATTGCTGCTGCTGCTAGCAGGAGTGCACTAACTCAAAGAGACCCCCCCAGGAAGGGCACAGCTGTCCAGGCCCCTGGCTGCAGGGAGGGTCTGAGCCTGGTGTTAATGGCAGAGGAAGTGCAGAAGACACCTGCGTGTGGTGTGAGCAGCTGAAGGATCGGCTCGGCCCAGTGGCAGAGCTTAAGGAAGAAGTGGAAAGGCTGAGGAGCATCAGGGAGAGTGACACAGAAATAAACTGGTGGAGTTACACCCCTCCAACCCTGAGAGAAGCTGAGCAGGAGTCAGAGGAGCTCTGCCCTTCTTGGGATCAGGCAGAAGGAGGAGACCTAGGACACAGTGGGGAAAGGAAATGGGTCTCTCCTGGGGAGGCAATAAAATTCCATCCTGACTCCCATCACCTACCCAGGTGTTCTGACAGAACAGGTATGAGGCCTGACTCCAGAGGGTCTGGCAGATGACACAAAAGAAAAAATTCTGCCCGGAGAGTCTCCCAGTTGTACTTGGTCTGTCAGACAGATCACAGCCTCAAGAATTAAGAAAAGAAGGGTAGTGGGTAGTGGTAGTAGGTGACTCCCTTCTAAGGGGAGCTGAGGGCCCTGTAGATTGACTGGATCCATTCCACAGGGAAGTCTGTGCCTCGCTGGGGCCCAGGTACAGGATATCACCAGGAAATTCCCTAATAACGAAATGAACTTCATCTCTTCACCACTGTCTGGCGTACAGTGACTGTGAAATAATAAGAGTTCTCAATATTCACTGAAACAAGGAGGGGCATCTACAAAACTTTCACTCTGGACTTCTGGAGGGCAGATTTGGCCTGTTCAAGAGGCTGATTTGGCAAGAACCCTGGGAAACAGCCCTTAAAAACAAAGGGGTCCAGGAAGGATGGACACACTTCTAGAAAGAAGTCTTGAAGGCACAGGAACAGACTGTCCTTGTGTGCTGAAAGACAAGCTGGCAGGGAAGACAACCAGCCTAGATGGGCAGGGACCTTCTGAAAGAACTAAGGGAAAAAAAGAGGGTGTATCACCTTTGGAAAGAGGGTGAGCTGTTTAAGGATGTTGCCAGGTCATGTAAGAAGAAGATTAGAGAGGCGAAAGCCCAAGGAGAACTTGAGGAAATCCAGTCATTGCAACCAACCTTTCCTTCCCAAAATGCCACCCTTGGTTGGAGTTTAAGTGGAACTGGAATGCTCAGTGCTGAGCTCCTGAAGCCAGCAGGGACACACACCCTAGTGCCAGGCATGGTTTACTTGGCCCAAACCATTCAAAAGCACCAACACCCCCTGAGGCCACACGTCAGTTTTAGTCTTGGGCCATGTATCTCACTGAAATGAGATATGAAATGTCAGACCAACCTCCTCTTCTCTCGATTCTCTCCTTCCTTGGTAGGAAAAGCTTTCCACTGGAAGTGGGCCGTGACGTTACTCCTGTTCTCAATGAACATGGTTTTGTGGTTTGACATGGTGATGAACGTCGTCTCAACCGCCACGACATTTGTGCTCAACCCAATGTTGAGCTCTACAGCTTCTGCGTGGAGCTCTGTGTGGGTACTTTCTTCACCTGGAACAAAGCAAGGGGGAGTCTTTGCTCAGCTCACTGGCTGATGGAAGCACGAGGAACAGCTGGCTGATGGAAGCAAACCACAGGTCACAGAAGACAGTGTCACAGTTTTCAGCTGAGTCAGCAGCTCCGTGGATCAGTCCATTTATCACATCCTGACAGCTCTGTGTGTACAGCATGAGGATGTCCTGGGCACCTCCTTAAACACCTTATTTCTGAGAGTGTTTGTGCAGATTTGGCCCCAGGGTGACAGTATGTGCAGTGAGATTTGTCAGATGTGCTCTGGTGACCCACTCAGATCCCCGGGATTTCTGCATCAATGGCCTTCAGGTGACACTGAGGAGCCCTGTTCAGTCCTGGCTTGCCCGGGCTCTCCCTGGCCATCCCACGGGACTCCTGTCTCTCCTGATCCCTTGGATCCCTTGTTGCTGACAAGCAAATTTGCCTGGGGGCATGTGGGCAGCAAAAGGAGGCCCAGAGGAACAAGTGAAGTGACAGCCCACAGCAGGAGGGGACACAGGTGAGGAAACACAACCAGCCTGGCTCTGCAATATGACAAACCACTACAAAATGAATCACCGTGAAAATCATCATCATCTCCCTGCCCAAACGCACAGCCACATCAGTCTTGAAATATTTTATATTGTTCTGATCTCAAAAACCAAGCTGGAGCATTTCAGATTAAATAAAAAAGGGACAAAGGGAAGATTAATAAGTACAGAGCAGCTTCTAGATGAAGACTGACTGGGATTCCTCAGTCTAGAAACCACATGGGAGATAGATGTGAGAGGTTTGCAACAGCATGAATGGCCTGGGAAATGGGGACGAGGAAAAATTTGTCTTGATTTGTCACCAAACAGGAACTCCAGGGCCTGGAAATGTTATTAGACAGAAACTAATAGATGTGTAAGGGCAGTATAGAAAAAGGGTCTGTGACAAGCCAGTGGAGAAGCAGCATACGGGACAGAGGTGTGCAAGAAACACATTGCATTGGAGAGAGTCTGATGGAAACCTCACACCTCACATACAGCACTGCCCAGCAATAAAACAAAACTTCACCCAGGCATAGCCACACGGTAGTGGAGAATCAGGGATCCTCCTTCCTCCACTCAGCAACTCCCAGCAAAACGGGAGTCCAAAAATCTTAGTCCCGTTAGAGGGGATCCACTTTCTCAACCCCCTAAACACCAAGGAGTTCTCTGTTTTCTTTGGGGTAAAGCTGAACAGGGGAGGGACCTCTAGAGGGAATGGAGGGGGATGGGACAACAGGGAGCCATGGTGCAGAACTGTCCTGTGCCCGTGCAGGGCCCAGCACTCACCTGTGTTGCAGCACAGAGACCCCGAATAGTCACCGGTCATCAGCGCGTGGAATCCCACTGTCACCTGCACGGTGTCACCAGCGCCCACAGTTCCCGTGGCCGGAACCACGGAGAAGGGACTGCAACACAAAGAGAGGGCAGCAGCTGCAATGCTCTGGCTCCTTCTGTTGCTCTTTCCCAGCCCTGGTACCACCCAAAGGGGTTTTGCACAAGGACAGAGCCTCACCTCTGGGTGCTCAGCTGGTAGTGAACTGCCCGGTTACTGACATTATGAACCAGCAGAGTCTTGTGGCTGCTCTGCTTGACTGGACACTCCGAGAAGTCCAGCTGGTCAGGGAACTCCAGGATAGCTCGGGCACCAATGGCCTGAATTGGCACAACTATCCTTTCCCTTGCAGTGGTGCAGATGAGCTTGTGGGAATAATCCTGCAGGAAAGGAACTAGCTCAGCACAGGACATTTAGTGCCATCCCCATGGCAGAAGAAAAACCATTTCCTATAACCCTTCAACGGCATCGATTTACCTATTCCACCCTAAAATGAATGCTAAGTTCTACTAATATGTCACATTTTAAGGGCACAAGTACGCTTTGCAAAACCTATCTCAGTGGCATTAAGCTCTTGTGTCACTTGGGTCATCCGAAGAACTGCCTTAGGCCACCATAATTTCTACTCTAAATTTTAATGATGCTAAATAATTCCTAAGTCCCTTCTAAGGAGCTGGGGAACACAGGACATTCCTGTTTAGGTTTCTATATTCCCACTGTCTGAGAAGAGAACAAAGTGTTAAACTGACTCTAAGCAGCAAAAAGAAGATGAGAAACCAGCTGCACCCAAAGAGCTCCTGCACCTCTGGCCTGGTGCAGAAACATGGGTTGGCTCAGACCTGCCCTCTAACTTTGCCTGTCCAACCAAGTCAGGAGAAGAACAGCGCTAAGAGGTGGCAGCATGCTGTTGGAAAGAGCCTCCCTTTGTTTGCCGGCAAGGCTTCCCCCTTCCATGCCACGTCCCAAACCCTTCTGTATGAACAAGCCTCCAAATCACAGCACTGAGATCAGACTTGCCAGGGCCCCAGCACCAGTGTTCAAACCTCCCCAAAAAAACAGGTTTGGCACGGAATGGGTGCCAGCTGACAGAGCCACCACAGTGACAGGCATGAAGGCAGAGGCACAGCAGTGTCACTGCTGTGGAATCACAGCTCTGCCTGCAGGTCGTGCCTGCCCTACACGAGCTCTTTCAGGCAGGTGGCCAAGTCCCCTGCAGCTCACCAACCTCCTGCTGGCTAAGGGCACCTAGAGCCCAGTGTGCCCGTGCCAGGCCGGGCTCACGGGCACAGCACATCCTCTGCCCTGGCCCTGCAGCTGTATCATGGTCAGCTGTGCTCTGGGACAGCACAGCTGCAAGGCTGGAGAACAGAGGGTGTGAAAAAGCACCGTCTTTGCTCCAGCCCAGGGTGAGGCAGGGAAGCTGTTGCCAGTCAGGAAGGAGGAAAGCTCTCAGACCTCTTTGTTCCTCTAGTGTTTTCCATAACAATGAAATCCCTTCCACTGTACCTAGAGATGGCCAAAGATCTATCAACACCCCTCTGTCATTTTCGCTGTTCCCCTGCATCTTGCCTCGGGGATGCTCAGGAATGTGCAGGGAGGGAAGCAGAGCCTGTCAGGCCTGGGCGCAGTGCCTGACAGCATGAGCCAAGCTGTGACTGGCTGCAGGCTGCCTGCCCACGGCCTGGAGCCAGGCTCACAGCATGGAATGGGGCTGCACGGAGAGCAGGGAAAACAACGGCTTTGGAGGTAATTCTGTTTTGGCTCCTCCAGTCTCACCTTGCCCTTGCCAGGGGTGAAGCGGATGCGCACAGGGGCAGGCACACCCGGCGTCACAACACGGTACGCGTTGTTGGAGCACACCAGCTGGAAGTAAGGCGAGCTCTCCATGGAGATCCTCACCACCTCAGGCAACTGCAGGAAAGACATGAAACGATTGTTTTGCCACTCGTGGAAACAGGACAAGAGGAGACCTGTCCATGCCCTGGTGACATCCCTCCTTGACCCCTTTGCCAAAGCACTTTCAGCTGTGGAGCCACAGGCACGTCATTCCTGAAGGTGAACCGAAATCCCTTCTGGGTCCAGCATTTTGGCCAGGGGCAGTAGGGCAGTGCCTCATGGGAAGGAAGGGCCAAGCAGGTCATCACCAGCAGGATGGAGACAGAGCACTTGAACCAAGTCATCTGCATATTCAGCCAGACCAAAAAACCTGCTGGCTCCTGCCTGCACACAGCCACGCAGTAGTCGTGTTCCAGAGGGGGAATGTGCTGTCTGAAAGCAAAACAGCACATTATCCTGGGGGAAGGAAGAAATTCTCTTCTAGCCGATGAGGTTTGGGTGGGGCAGTTCTGGGGATACATTCATGCAGGCAGACCAGCAAGAGAGGAGACCAAACACTTTGGCCTTACTGGGAATAAAAGCAAACCTGAAAAGCAAAAGGAACACAGCAGGACAACCCCTAAAACAAGGAGATGGCAAAGAGAATTTAAATGGGCAGTAAAGCAGTGAGGAAGAATCATAAAACCATGAGAGCAATCAGCTGGCCAAAAGTGACAGAAACACAGACAGGCTGTGCCTACTGACTATGGGCTTCGAAGGCATTTTCTGCCTGGAGAAACATGACCAGCACTGACTCACAGTGTGGTTCCAGAATTAAAAGCCAGTCTTGGCTCTCCAGGGGTTCTTGCTGCCTGTGCAGGCAAGCTGGGCTGCTGGGCATTCCTGCCTGCAGCCAGCAGGCCAGGTTCTGTCCTCTGGGATACACAGACACAGCAAACATGCATTTTCTAGCACAGAGGTATCAACCCCCGAGCACCAAAATGCTCTCAAGAAGTCTAAAGTAGATGATTTTGACTCCCTCCTGTCTCTTGCCACCAGCCCACTCTTGGCACAAGGCTCATTTGAGAAAATGTTTCCCTGACTGAAATGCAAATGGTCTCCATTTTCCTCTTTACAGTGGAACACAACTGCTGGCATTTTTTACTTTTTTCCCTCTCAACTCTCTTGGGAAACTGTAAAACAATCACAATTTCAAGTGAAGGTAAAAACCTCCAGGAGCACATGGCTTTGGATGTGCTGTGGTTCGCCAAAGGGAAAGCAGAGCACCATGCTGCTTTTGGAAAACCTGAGCAGAGCTGGATGAAGCCTCGCAGGAGCCCAAAGTGGCACCTAAAGGCTTCCTGCTGCTTCTGCTACATCAGCCTGATCCCAGGGCTCTTTCAGAACTTCCTGAAGTGCCAGTGCCAGTAATGAAAAGTGATTCCAGCATAAAGTGGAGAAGGCTCAGACCCTGAGCTTTGACTGTGAGCTGCACAAAGGGAGCCAAACAGGCTGAGAGAGGCAGAGGAGCCAAGATTAGCCTGGGAAACACAGGATGTGGTATACACTCAAGGCAAAGCACGAGAGCAGCTAAGAACTGTACAGCCCTCAACATTCCTATCAATCCAGAGCTTTCAAGAGAAGGCAACTCCTTTGGGATAGATACCATCAACACATGGCCAAAATCAGGGAGAATTCCCAGCACAAGAAGATTTCCACCATCTTGCAGAACAAAGGTGCTGAGACATTTTCTTGTGGATGTGCTGCAGCAGGTAACCTGCTTTGCTGTACACTCTGGCAATTACACCACTCTCCTCTTCTAGCACACTGTTACAGCTCCACCCCCCAGCACTTACCTTGTCCTTATTCACGAGAGACACCACCATTTCAGAGACCTCATGAGCGACAAAGCCCTGAAACACCACCTCTGGTGGGGAAATCTGAAGCAAGTTCTGCTTTGGGGGAACTGACGACAACTGGAGAGGCGAGAGAGAGCAGGGAGAGGTTCAGCTGCTGGGAGGAAGGGTCATGAAGGATCCCTTACACTGATCCCCAGTGAAGTACAGGCTCTGGGTGAGCACGTCTGCCCAGCCCACACTGGGCAAACAGTGGCTCACCCACCTCTGCTCTGAGCTGATCAAGAGCTGCTGGGCCACACAGAGCAGGCTCAAGCCAAGCTGCTCTTTTGGCACGTATTTCTCCAGGTTTCCTTCTCCAGAATGCCAGGCAGCACTTACCTTAAGCACAGCCCTGTGCCCATGTGGTCACAGAGCTCTGGGGCACTGAGTGAGCCCTCATGGAGTAAGTAAAACCCACAAATTTACATCAGATTCTATGGGAAATGATTTTAGGATGTCCTTTACTCTGAGACAGGGAAACCAAGGCCCACACAACTGCAAATATCTTTTTTATCTAGAACTTAGACATCAGTAAGAAGAGAACAGTGCCAGAGGAGGTGTGAGAGGTGAGGTGATATTTTGCTGAAGCCAAAAGGTTATCTAGTGAAAGAATGGAATTTGTTGGTTCTGTGTGTTGTTTGTGGTTTGGATTTGTTCAGGCTGGTTTGTTGGGTGCTGCTGTGAGAGGGACAGGGTTGAAGAGCTGGCCAAAAGGAAGCAGGATGAGAGGGGAGGGACAGAAGAGCTGGCAGCTGGACAGAATGGAAGTTCCCGAGTACCCATCCAAGGGGAAAGGGGACAGGGACCGCCCTGGCTGGGTACAAAGGAGATAGGAAGATTGCCATTTTCTCAGAGGGTGTGTTTGTTCGTCTCTGGGGGGAGGGAGACATGCCCAGCTCAGCTGAATTCTTACTTGTTACAGAATTTCTGAGAGCGAGAGGGCATGATTTATGTCTGGAGTGAGACTTGAGCTACCCCCTCAGATAGGCCCTGATAAGTGGCCTTGGTGGGGCCTCGAAGCCTTTGATGCAGTGAGAATTCAGTTGTGGCGCAGTCAGAAATTATGTTAAGGTAACTACAAAGCAATCAGCTATCCGAGCATGAATTAGAGTAGAGCTGCAGTGTGCAAAGCCTGACCACCTTAAGGCAAAGGTAAACAATGTTAGCGTGTCAGTCAGAGTGCCTTTGTAACCTGTAAACTATATGGGAGTGTATATAAACTGCCATCTTATCACGAATAAGGGGAGAATGTTGCACTAATCATATTGGTTGGATGTGCGTTCTGTCCTGTCCAATTTTCCCGTTTTATGAGGTCCCTGGCTTTTGTTACTAATAAATAGTTTTCTTTTGCTTTGATGATTTTGTCCCCTTTAATTGTATTTAAAAGTTAGTGCGTTTCAAACAGAGGTAAAAGCAAAAATAAAGTAACACAGAAGTTAGGAAAAAGACAAATGAGTGCTGAATGAGGAAAAGGTTCAGTTATTTTCTCAGCAACTTGGGTGAAAGTAGAGTTGGTGACTCCTTTTTCCATGAGCTTTAAATGGGTGCTTTCTTGTAATTATTGCCATTTTACACGATACCATTGTAGAGGCACATCTGGGATGACACAACAACAGCAAATGCTTGTGGAGCAGAGACATTGCTTTGAGAAAACTCTCCCCTTTGTCTGCCTTCTCCAGCCACACTGCTGTCACTCCAGAGACACAAGCAGGCCTCCTGTGTGACTCCCCAGGAGACACAGCCTGCTGAAGGGACTGGCTGCAGCACCCTGTCCCTTGGTTGTGCCCTTTCCCTGAGGTGCTCCCAACGCCCCTCTCCAGGGCAATCCTTAACCAGCGTCTCTTGCTGCCAATTTCCTGCTCAACAGCCCACCTCAGTCACCTACCCCTTTGGACTGTGCTTTATACTGAGCCAGTCCTGCCAGAAAAGCAGCTTTAAACACACCTCTAGGTAGGCACTGATGCAGATAAAGCACATCCATTCCCCTCTGCCCAGGGTGAGTCCCCTGCACATTGGCAGCCTGCAAAATCTAACACCCCATCAGGGTCCAACACATTGTTCCAACCCAAAGCATTCATGAAATTCGTTTTGTTCAATCTGAAGTAATTACTGCAGGTCCTCGGCCTTCAAAGGCCAGCGCTGCCACTCGGAAGGGAATCCTGTGACCCCGAGCATTTGATGGCGACCACACCACAGCAAGAGGTGGCTACTTCATCAGGAGAATGGCAAATGGCAATTTTGTGCCTTTGTGTCCCCAGCCTTCCCCCCATTGTTTTAGCAATGGCAGCTACACTTAGGCAGCTTCAGCAGAGGTTATTTGTGTTGGCTTAGTGCAGATCAGGACTCCCATCCACCACTACCAGCAGTTTGCACCGACAACAGGACCTGGACACTGAGGTATTTTGCTGGAGGCAAGCCTGTCACAAGCACACACCCTCTTCAAACTTCACATCAAACAGGCGTGGAAAAGGAAAAGAGCAGGAAAAGGCTACCTTTTGACCGGTCTTACTCATGTCTAGAAATGGGCCAGTTCTGGGCGCAATATTCTCCGCAGTGCTGGCCTTCTTCTTCGTGTTGAAAAACTTCTCCCACAGGGACTTAGAGGGAAGCAGCTGAAAGGCAAAAATAAACCAGCTAGAGTCTCAGAGATGTGCTTGTTCACAAAAGCTTTTCTTGAACAAGTGGCACTGGTGAACAATTTGTGATCACATAGTCTAGGACAGTCCTGGAAGCCCTGGAAGTTACTTGCTGAAATACTTAGCACCAATCAATAAATAATACAGAGTGGAGTACACATACTCCCACCACACGGCTGCGTCCCATTAGCTTCTCTGTGATGTAATGTGACATCTTTGGGGATTTCTGCTCCTTGGGCATTTGTTTCCTCTTATGTTTCATTGGATTGAGGCATTGACCTTTTCAGAGAGTCAATTTCAGTCAATGAGTCCTTTTCAGGAGCTCTCAGAACTCCCCTAACTCCATCCATGGACAACACTGAGAACTCACAGCAGGGAGATATCGCTGCTGGGGGAGTCCAAGAGACGCAAGATAGGAACGCTGTACCAAGAATGAGGAGCACAGGAATGTGTCCAAGTTTTTGTTTTCTCTGTTAATTAGCATTTGTTTTCTCTGTCTGGGCTCACAGACCCCTCCACAGAAAAAAACAGAGGGATCTCCTTGACAGAGCCTCAGCAGTGGGGCATCTTCACTCCAGTGAGCTCAGACGCCAAGGGACCTCTGTGGCCTGACTCCAGTGCTGCCTGCAGGGCTGGATCTGCGCCCACACAGGAGATGAGAGAGAACAGCTGGCTTGGAAGCTCTTCCAGCTGGGACCAGCCATGTCTCTCTAGGCTTTGGGCAGAGTTTGAGCTTTCCCTGCCCCACCACATGCCCAGGTGCCCAAGGGCAGGTTGGTCAGAGCAGCACAGGTGAGTGCCCAGCCTGACAGAAGGAATTGCTGTGGCAAAGGGAAAGGGACAGAACACACGCTCGCAGCTTCAGCTGCACATTGGTTTCACTTGGCTCAGCCAGGCAAGACCCTGAGGCAACACACGGTGTTCCCTACTGCACCAGGACAGCCCCCACCAACAGGAGCACGGCACAAAGAGGTGGGGAGGGCGTCTGCAGCTTCACAGCGCTGCTGGACAACAGGGGCAGGGAGAGGAGGGACACGAGAGGAGTTTCCAGCCTTAACACAGCCCCAGTGGGTACTTACACTGAAAGACTTCAGCGCTTCCCTCGACCAAAGACAGGGTTTCAGGATCTTTTCTCGGAATCCGGAAGCCATTTTGAAGGGAGGATATCCCAGATAAACGACAATGCCTCAATGAAACTGGAAGGAGCAACAATGGAACTCTGAAAATCCAGAACCCAATTCATGGCAGATTCAAGGCATATACTGGTGCTAAAAAATTTATAGTATTTGGAAGTAGCTAAATGCTTGTTTGGTGTAAGTAGCTAGTATTGTTAGGCCTCTAGCTGGACTTTATTCGAACGATATGGCTATGTTGTGCAATTCAAAGATGGATCATACTGAAACCTGGAGGTAAAAATCTGAACATTAATAATAGTTAGAACAGACAAAGATGTAGCTTAAATATTAAATACTTAAAAATAGCTCGAGTGGATCTCCTCTTCTTTAGGCTAAACCAGCCCTGTTCTCTCAGCTCTTCCGCACAGGACTTGTGAGAGACTGCAATGTTATGGCTAATGGCTTAAATCTTGTTATAAAGGACTTTCTGCCCATTGTGACTGCATAAAGAAGCTGCGACCACCCAAGCCCACCCTTCCCTGAAAACGCCTCCTGACTGGAACTTTGGACTGTGAGTTAAGCTGCCTAAGGGAACTTGAAACAAGACAAAGGTGACACTATTGCCCAGTTATCTCAGGTCTGGGGAGAAGTAAACAAAGCTGAGGAGAAAACCTATCCACAACAAAGCCAAACCCAGCAGCTGTCCTGAAAATCAGCTCTGTCTGGCTTCAGGGCAGGGAATTCATAGCCACAGACTCATCTGCTGAGGCCAGGTTTGCACACAAACCTCCCATCAAAGACCTCCAAAGTGCCCCCAGACCCATCCCTGAGGCCTTGCACCAGATGACTGCAGGCCATGCCAAGTAACACAACAGATCTGAAAATCCAGAACCCAATTCATGGCAGACCCAAAGGATATACTGGTGCTAAAGATTTGATATTATTTGAAAGTAGCAATAGATGGAGTCAGACTTGCCCCACCCCAGGGAGGTACCTGGGCAGTCCCACCTTGCCCAAATCTGCATTAATCCACTGGAGTCTTACGTTTTGCGAGAGACACCTCACCACAGAGAAGACCAGAAGAAGATTTTATGGTATGCTGATGGGATCCATGGAATGGTGATATTTTTTACTTAATCAGTCTCTGTCACTCTCTTTCTCCTCCCTCTTCCAAACCCCACCCTCCCTGCCACTTTTTCTTTCTTTCTCTCTCTATTCCTCACATTTACTGTTAAATAAAATCCAGACTATTGACTTTGGCAATTCAGAGGCGTCTCCCCAATAATTTTAATAACCAGATGATAACAACCCACTGAAACTTGACCAGAACTCATTCACCTTTAAGCACTTTAAGCAATCACTATAGGGAAAAAAATGCATAGACTAGTACATTTAGAAAATTTTGCATTTCTTCAGTGCAAAAAAGCACAATCAGTAGACCATATGTCATTCACCCACTCAGCTGTCCATGCCGCTGAACTGCTGCACCAGAGGACTGGCATTATCACACCCTGCATTTCCCTTTGGCATTCTCTTTCCGAGCACAGATGAGACAAAACCAAAAAGTTCAGCTTTAGTCAATCTTTACCTTCAAAGGAAATTCAGGACTGTGTAGCAGAGACCAATGCTCTGCATGTTCGGGAATCCGGTGCAGAGACCAATGCTCTGCAAATTCGGGACTCCTTTGCAGAGAGCGATGCTCTGTGAACAGTCACTCGGCCAATGGCCCAGTGCAGCCCCTGCAGGAGCCCAGGCTGGCACACCCAGCCCGGAGCCGCTCTGTGGCTGCTGAGCCGTGCCGAGCCCATCACCGCCGCACGTCACAGACGCCGCCGCCGCGTTCGCGGTTTCCAGGCACCCACGGCACCCGATGGTCGGGGCCGGGCGGGGCCGGGCCGAGCCGGGCCGAGCCGCAGCGATTTTCAAAGGAGATTGGCACTTGAGCTACTGACTTGGGTGCTTTCTGTGAAAAACGCCAATCACTTGGTTTTTAAGATTTTAAAAGTTTAATAATTAAAGTAATAAATTAACAATTACAGTAATAAAAAGTTAAGAGTTAGGACAATTACAAGACAATAAAAAGCAAAGAATTACGGACGTCCGGACGCTGTCTGTGAAAAACGCTGCGAGGCCTTTCCCGCCCTGCGCCGCCGGGATCTGCCCGGCGACCGATGACATCATTGAAGACTCGGGCTGCCATTGGCGGGCAGCAAAGAGCGGAGCCAATGGCGGGGCCGGAGGCGGCTCTGGGGGCGGGGCCGCAGCGGAGCGGCGCCATGGCTCCCGCGCTGGGGCTGGGGGCGCTCCTGGGCCCCGGGGCGGCGGCGAGAGGCGAGGGGGACCCCGGCACCGGGAGGGACTCTTTGATCGCCCATTCCGGAGCACCGAGGGGCCCTGAACCCCCATTCCCGGGCGCCGCCATCCCCCCGCACCCCATTCCCGGCATGGGTTCTACCCTGCACCCCCTTATCCGGCACCAGCAACCCCCGCACCCCTTTCCCGGCCATCCCGCCTCTCCCAGCCCCCAGAGCCCCCTTTTCCTTCACCCAGAGATCCCCTGGACCCCTATTCCTGCCTTTCCCAGCGCCCAGCCCCTCCTTTCCTCAACGCCGAGGACACCCGGGACCCCTATTCCCAGCCAGCCCGGGTTTTCCCACCTTTTGCGGGGAATGGGGGCACCGGGGAGCCGTGGAGCTCCCTTCCCTGGATACAGGAACCCCCTTAACCCCGCCCATCCCACCTCGACCCACCGCAGCCTTCCCCTTTCTTAATCCTGGAACCCCCAAACCCCGTTCCCAGCTCTCCCGTGCCCCCTTTCCTTCCCCCGTGCCCCCCCAGCCCCCAAATCTCCGTGTGCCCCCAGTTCTCCTGTCCCTGCGTTCCCTGCCCGTGGCGCTGTCGGGGCCCGGCCCGGGGTTCCCGCAGTTCGTGTCCATGGGGTCCCTGGATGGGATCCCCTTCCAGCGGAGCCGCAGCCGAGCCGGGATCTCGGCACAGCCAGAGCCGGCACAAGGAGCGGAGGACTTCTCCTCCCCCTGCCTGCTGGCTGTGGGCGAATCTCAGCAGAGGCAGAGCCTTGGCTGGGCTGGCCCGGCCCGGGGCTGCTCCTGGGGCCTGGCGGCTCCTGGCTCGGCCTGGGCGAGCAGCAGGGTGGGCCTTAGCAGCGGCCAGATGTTGGCAGCTGCAGCCGCCAGCAGCTCGGCCCCGCGGCCTCTCCTCCCGCTGCAGCTGCTGGGCTCCCCAGGAAGGGGATTTTTCCTTTTTTAAGTGCATGTTCACAGAGGTGAATCAGCTTTCTCAGCGGTTTAACAGCTTGTCAGTTGTCAAAGCTAATTACTGATTGGGTTTTGTGTCAGACATGGAGGAAACAGCTCGAAGCTTCTCTGTGCATTTCTTCCATAAGCACCTCCCATGCAAAACCACCACAGGATAGCAACAGGGGGCTGGGGATGGAAACTGACCACTACACCAGGGGGCTGGTGATGTTTGCTTATGAAGGAACCGAGTTGCCACAGGCACTCAGAGAGGTTCCATGGGGACTTTCCAAGAGTCTCCAGGCTCTTCAAGAGCTGGAATGTCACACACAGAGAGACAGGGGCTCCATGGAGACCTGCCAGGGCTTTCTGGGGATGGTAAGGAGCCGAGTGGTCAGAGGCAGTCACAGCCATTCTATGGTGACATCCCAGGGCACCTTGGGCTGCAAAGGACCTGGTCTGTCACAGGCACTCACAGGGGCTCCACAGTGACATCCCAGGAGTCCCCAGACTGCCAAAGAGCCAGGGGTCCCAGACACTCAAAGGAGTTCCTGTCTATTGTAAATGCAGGCAAACCCAATGGGAAGATGTTTGACTCAATTCAGAAGGCTGAATGATTTTTTAATTATAATTATGGCTAAAATACATTAATATACTATATAAAAAGGAAGAGACTAAAACTGCATACTACTTTCTCTAATTCTGTCTCTAACTACAACACAACTCGTGACCCTCTCGCTCGAGTCCAGACACAGATGGATTGGATTGGCCATCAGGCTCAAACAATCCTCACCAGAATCCAATCAAGCACTCACTCCAGATAAGCAATTCTCCAAACACATTCCACATAGGAAAAACAAGGAGTGGAAATAGAAATTGCTTTCTCTTTCATTTCTCTCTGTGCACCTCGATGAAAAATCCTGAGAGGGAGAGAAATGTGCTTGCCACACCTGTCATGGGCAGAGTGGGAGCTTCAGGCAAAAGTTTTGTTTCTTTATTGGAGAAATTTCTGCTGAGTCAAGAGGTGGAAAAAAGGCTTGGACTTTGGTTACAGGTATGTCTTCTAACTCTTCACTGTCTTTTTCCATCGTGTGCTATGACCGCTACCTGTCCATCTGCAAAGCCCTACACTACGGGACCCTCCTGGGCAGCAGAGCTTGTGCCCACATGGCAGCAGCTGCCCGGGCCAGTGGCTTTCTCTTTTCACTTCTGCACCCGGCCAAAACATTTTCCCTGCCCCTGTACCAGGGAATTGCTCTGGACCAGTTCTTCTGTGGAATCCCCCAGATCCTCAAGCTCTCTTGATCCAAATCCTACCTCAGCAAAATTGGGCTCATTGCAGTTAGTGCCTGTTTAGGACTCAGATGTTTTGTGTTCATTGCTTTCTCCTATGTGCCTATATCCAGGCCCGAGCTGTGCATCCCCTCTGAGCAGGAACAGCACAAAACCTTTTCCACCTCTCTCCCTCACCTGCCTCTGCTCTCCCTGTTTGAACTGGCACACTTGTCTGCCTGAAGCCCCTCTCCATCTCTTTGTCATCCCTGGATCTAGCACTGTCCGTTCTGTACTCGGTGGTTCCTCCAGCCCAGAACCCCCTCATCTACATCCTGAGGAACCAGGAGCTCAAGGCTGCAGTGTGAGCACTGGTGACTGGATGACTTCAGGAACATTAAACTGCTGGCAAATCAATGGTAATAAACTGCAAATCACTTGGAATAAAAGTCATCTTTGATACTTCTTGTTGGTTTGGTTGTGGGGCATTTCTTCGCTGTGTTTTAGTTTTCACATATTGTCCACAAAGAAAAACCACTCCTTGTGCCATTTCTCATTTTGTTTCTCTCCACCTTCCCTGTGCCCACAGAATGTGTCAAGGAGAGGCTGTGCTCTCCCCGGGGCTTTAAAGGAAATGAAGGATCTCTCAGCAAAGTTTTCTCCAGAGATACCCCTTTTGTGACCTTCTCTTGAGCTGCAGCAGCAATGTCTGTGTGCAGAGCTGGGGGCAGATCTGTGCTGGCACAGCAGCTGTGCCCAGGAGCAGCAGCACTTGGTGTTGCCGGTGCTGCTCCTGTGTCACTGCCCCGCTGCCCTGGGTGGCCCTGGGGTTGCCGTAGGGCCTGAGTGTTTTTGTGGCTGGGCACAGTCCTGGGGGTGGCAGTGCCGGGGCTGCAGCAGGGACAGGCCATGGGCATTGCTGGGGCAGAGCTGATGCCTTAGAGCAGGGCCTGGGGACTCTAGGATCATTGCCTTGCCCAGGCTCTCTCAAGAACTTGGCCAGGCCAATGCTCAGCACAGAAAACCCCCGTGAACAGGCCCAGGCTGGCCGTGGGCAGGCTGGGGGCAAACAGCACGGCTGGTGCTCTGCAACGGCCCTGGGGGAGATGGGAAGGAGCAGCAGAGCAGGGGCTGCTCCATCCCCAGTGTACTGGGAAGGCCAGGGCAGCATCCCAGAGCGTCCTCATGGAGCTGACAACAGCATCCCCCCTCTGCAGCCCTGGCCTCTCCCCCAGCTCACAGAGGTGCTGCATCCTTGCAGGCACAGACACGGCAGGACTGGCTCAGCAGCCCCTGTTTGCATTGCACAGAGCAGGTGGGAGCACCCCATGGTGTTGGTGTGGGGACATGAACCTGAGGGAGCACAAATGCCATCAGCCCCTGGGGCCAGGAAGAGCTCGGGCATGGCAGGGAAACCACTCAGCTTTGTCATGGCCTCTGCAGTCAGCCTGAAAGTTTGTTCCCATCAGCTGAGAGTTTCCTGTCCCACTGCAGAGGCTGTTGCTCAGAGCCAGGGCTGCCTGGCAGCCACCCCCAAACTGTCCTGAGCATTTCCTTGGCTTCACTTTTGCTTTCTTTATTCCTCCTGCAATAAATTTCTTCCTGTTGCCTGCCCCTTTTCTCTCTCCTGCCCATCCCTGTTTGCCCTTTCCTCTTTGGCCCCACTCCCCAAATTGGCACCATGGGAACGTCCCTTGGGGAACAGGATCATCCTACAAATGCTTCTGGAATTGTCTGGAGGCTCCTGCATGCCTCATGCTGCTCCCTTGCCAGAGGCACCACAGACCAGGGGGGCACATCTGGGCTGCTGTGTTTGGCTGTGAGGTTCCCTGTTCTGGGCAATCCTGCAACTGCTCCAAGGGTGGTTTCAGAAAATCACACAATCAGCAAGGTTGGAAAATACCCTGGAGATCATCAAGTCATACCTGTGCCCTGACACCGCCTTCTCTCCCCTGAGCCTCCTCTTCTCCAGGATAAACAACCCCAGATCCCTCAGCCGCTCCTCACAGGAACTGTGTTCCACACCTCTCAGCAGCCTTGTTGCCCTTCTCTGGACACGCTCCGGCCCCTCCCTGCCCATCCTAAATTGGAAGGCCCAGAACTGGACACCGCACTCGAGGTGCTGCCCAACCAGCCCTGAACACACAGGAAGAATCACTGCCCTGCTCCTCCTGGCCACACCATTCCTGATCCAGCCCAGGAGCCACTGGCCTTCTTGGCCACCTGGGCACATGGCTGGCTCATGTCCAGCCTGCTGTCCATCAGTCCCCCCAGGTCCCTTTCTGCCTGGTGTGGTAGATAGGGACAGGCGAACGGAAGATCTCGGGATGTGACAGAAAGAAAGACCCTTCCCCCTTCACCCTGCTTCACGTTATCTACCACCCCCAGAACATGTAACCACACCTAACCCAGTAGTTTTTTCC